AAAACCTCTCTTAAAAAAAAAAAAAAAAGTTCAAGTTTATTATACTGCAAAAAAAGTTCACGTGTAATTTTTAAACGTGCATTTTTCACGAACTTTTTGAGGACCTGACGTATGAGCACTTGCAGAAACTCTACCAGTCTGCTGCCCAGAATGTAAAGACCAAGCTCCAGTTTTCTAGGAGCTGGGTAGGACACAGCTGGAGGAGGCCGTTCATTGTGTGGAAACTGCTTAATTCTGTTTTCAGTACAGTGTCCCTGCCCTCCGTCAGGCCCAGTGTACCTTAGCCCAGAGACACCGCTTTATGCTGCTCAGTGCGGTATCCTCAGATTTTCCTGCCGGGGTAGTTGCTTGGCTGACTCGCTGCAGAACAGTCACTTGATTAAAGCAGGCTTTCTACAAATCTTTATGTTTGCACCCACTCCAGCTTCTTTTACCAGAAGGACTGGTCCTGCCAATTCACAGGCTTTGGAGGGATTCTGCATTGTAAACCTCGGTGTGGCTCAGTTTTCTCACTCTCCACTTCGTTTTTTAGGATGAAGTGTTTTTGGTCATTTACCCTGCATCTCTTTGCTTCAAGATTAAAAAATAAATAAATAAAATTGAAGGTGCTAGCTGATGGTGTTATGGTTATATCGCTGGACTCCCATGTAGTAGATCACGGTTCAAGTCCCACACCTGGTGACTTAAAACTCATGCTGGATGCGTGTAGACATGCATGGACAAAATCCCGAGAGGAGAATGGAGAAGGGATTGCAGTGTGGCCATCTCCTTGGCGGTCGATTTCTCGCTTTCTGTTTGTCTCTGTCTCTCCAGTGAGCACATATATCATATAGAAAAAAATCTCTCTCAAAAATCAAACAACAATAACAACAAAAGAAGTCGTAAATTAAATGAGTGTGTTCAGTCTGCCCTCCTTCCTGATGGGCACATGGGAACTTCTGACTTCCTGAGAGCTAATACGCTACTTCTCTGTGGCCTCATCAGCTGGTCCCAGTCTTGCCCATGAGACCACACCAGTAACCTTTAGAAAGTTGAAGATGGCCACTTAGCTCTACTCGGTCTTTTCTTCCACCCAAACGTTTCTAGTTCCTTCACCAGATTTACTTTCCGTAACTCGAGTCGAGTCATTAATGTGATAGAATTTCAGCTCATATTCTTTATGAAGCTATTCCTGTCATTTATATTAAACAGAAATAAGGAATCAGGAAAAAAATATGTTCAATGACAGTCTGTATAACCCCCTCAGTAGTTTGGGTAGCTTGAATTTAAATTTAGGGTTAAATCCACCCTCATCTTTTCCTTTTTTTTTTTTTTTTGTTCTTTTGTTTGTTTGTTTTTGTTTTTGCTATAGTGTATATGTGCTCACAAGAGAGAGGGGGGAAAAGTAAGAAATCATCCCTGAGGGGGATGGCCATGCTGCAACCCGTTCTCTGCTCTCCTCTCAGGATTGTGGGTACATACATGTGTGCGCTCAGCAAGATTTTCAAGCCTCAGGGTCCGGGACTTGAACCATGGAGTTGGCCGTGTGGGATCCAGCATTTTAACTTCCACGCCACTAGCAGCCCTCTGCCTTTCCTTTCTAACATTCTAGCCAGCTTTTTATTCTAAGAACTATCCTTACCAGAGAATTAGGAACTCTCCACTGAGCCAGTTCATATGGAAGCCTTGCGGCTCTGTCCTCTTTTTTGTGTAAAGGTGGTCATTTTTGTCTATATTTATCTTCTGGCTCAGTCAAACCTAGAATAGCAGAGAACAAGCTAAAGGTGTATAAAGAAGGGCAGGGTAGCTATTTTTGTGATTTCCCGTTTTCACATTGATGATCTATTGTTTGACAATAAGAAGATGTTCTGTGGGAACCATTTTGGAAAGCAGATGTTTAAAATTCCTACTTTTCATTTGAGTGTATATTCCGATTTTATCACCATGGACTTTTCATTTTTAGGATATACAGGTATGTTTCTCTGTGTTTTGGATTTTGAGCTTGCTCGGCCTTCTCTTGAAGTGTCAGAGTGTCTGTCCTGCCTGTCCTTCAGGGTTTAACCATGTATGAGTGTGGAAAAGCACTAGGCTAGCAGAACCAGCTGAGCCCATTCTTAGGTGAGATGTGTGGCCCTTCGCAAATGATTTCCTTCTGTAATCACTCATTTCCTCCTCAGTACATCAGAAAATTGGACAAGAAAACCTCCGAAGGTCTCCTTATGAGTCTCGTTCCATGATTTTGTTTTTTGTTTAACTTGCTATAGGGTGTGTGCACTCGCCAGAGAGAAATGGAGGGGCAGGGGTGGCCATGCCACAATCCTTTCTCCTCTCAGGAATTGGGGCACACACGAGCCTGACTTGTTTTTCAACCCAACAGATCCAAGACAGCTGCAGAGTTGGCCGTGTGGGATCTAGCACCTGAACCTCCATGCTATCAGCCGGCCTTCAGCCCATGGTTTTGTAAATGAGAAGCCGTAGGCTCATGAGGGATACCTATGCTCTTTAACCTTTGTCGTTACCTGTCTGCTGTGACCGCAGCTCTACGTCTGCCTCAGAATGTACCTGGGCACTTCATGTAGACTGCCCCACATCATTACTGAGCTGTCCACGTGTCCCAGTTCACACAGGTAGTGGGACCATACCCTCTGTGAGCACAGGAAGGACACAGCCTCATGAGCTTGGGAGCCACTCAGAGTTCTGGTTTTGTATTTTTATTTTTTTTTTAAAGACTGGGATATTTCGTATTATAGGGTAACCTTTATTTCACGAATCCCAAGTAAGTGATCACATCAGTTCCCGTATTTCCGTTACAAGCAATATTTTAATGACTGTCTACATATGTAAGCTTTTACCTCTCTTATGAATATGTAGTAAGGCGAATTCCTACAAGTAGAATTTCTATGTCAACGGGACCAGCAGATGGCATAATGGTTACATTGCTGGATTCCCACTTGGTTAACCATGATTCAAGTCCCGGATCCAGCAGCTTGAAACTATTGCTGGGTACATGTGCACGCATGGACAAAATCCTGAGAGGAGAATGGAGAAGGGATTGCGGCATGGCCATCCCCTGTGGGGATATGATTTCTGGCTCTCTAGTGAGCACATATGCCCTATGGAAAAAATCTCTCTAAAAGAAAAGAAAGAAAAATATTTCTATGTCAAAAAATGGGAAAGGTAGGGACCAGCAGGTTGCATGGTGGTTAGGGCACTGGATACTCCCACATGGCTGACCACGGTTCGAGTCCCAGACCTGGTGGCTTGCTTTCTCACTTCCCCTCTTTCTCTCTCTCTCTGTGTCTCTTTCTGTCAAATTAAAAATAAATGAATGAATAAGGGACCAGCAGTTAGCGTAATGGCTATGTCGCTGGACTCCCACGTAGTCACCTGCGGTTTGCGTCCTGGACCCAGTGGCTTAAACTCACGCTGGGCGCATGTGCGTGCATGCCCAAGATCCTGAGAGGAGAACGGAGGAGAAGGGATTGCGGCGTGGCCATCCCCCCTGGGGGGTGATTTCTCGCTTTCTGTCTCTCTGTCTGGCGAGCACACGTGCCCTATAGCAAAAACCTCTCCCCCCCCAAAAA